GTGTGTCCATATATTTTATATACATGCATATTGTTATGCAGCAACTTTTATGGAACGATATTGAAACATATTAGGATACATTGGACAATTTTAGAGGACACAATGAGTTTTGGTATGTATCGAGAGATTCAGAAGAAGGGAAACAAGCACGGAATGAGAGGACAAAGGACAAGTGGTGGCTTCCTCCGGTGAAAGTCCCTCCTAATGGCTTGTCCGAATCAGCCCGAAGAATGCTTCATTTTCAAAAAGATTCGGTTTCACAAGTCCAAAAAGCCGCCATGGCTATTAACGCGCAAGTTCTGTCCGAAATGGCTATCCCTGATAGCTATATCGAGTCTCTTCCAAAGGTGATCCTTCTTTAATTTTATCTTAAAATCGGTATATATATAGTTTCTATTATTTGTTTACATTTATTCTATGATATCATATAGTATTCTAAACAAATCAATAATGGTTATTAAGAAGACTTAGATTATTGTAGAATGGAAGAGTAAGCCTTGGGGATTCGCTATACAAGAGCATAACAGAAGAGTGGTTTGATCCAGAGCAGTTCTTGTCAACACTTGACTTGTCTACAGAGCACAAAGTGTTGGATGTGAAGAACAGGATCGAGGCATCAATTGTTATATGGAAAAGGAAACTTCATCTAAAAGATAACAAATCTTCTTGGGGATCAGCTGTGAGTTTGGAGAAACGAGAGTTGTTCGAAGAGAGAGCCGAGACCATCTTGGTCTTGCTTAAACAAAAGTTCCCTGGTCTTCCTCAATCTTCACTTGACATTTCCAAAATTCAGTATAACAAGGTAATGCTCATATGTTATTGTTTTATTTTGATATACTGATATGAAAATTCTTCATATATTGGTGGTCATGAATAAATTTTTTAACATTTTTAGTAGATTTAAAATACGAGTAATAACACTAACTAGCCGTACTTTGGTTTTCTATTAGCCAATTCGAAGGATAGCATTTTAGCATATATATGATGGTTTATTTGTCACTTTATGTTTTCTAATTATAGGATGTTGGACACGCGGTTTTGGAGAGCTACTCAAGGATATTAGAGAGCTTAGGGTACACGGAAATGTCGAGAATCGACGATGTACTTTATGCGGATTCTTTAGCCCGGAAGCAGTGCACTGGTGAAGAAACATCAGATGGTGGGAAATTAGCAACAGAAACGGACTCGGCAAGATCTTCGAACTTCTCAGGAGAGGAAACAGAGAAGCTTGAATCACAAAACTCATCAAAGACGACATTGCTTGATTTTATTGGCTGGAGTGACAATAGTTCAAAAGGGCAATCAGAGAAACCTCCAAAATCTCCAAAAATGACGCCAAAGAAATTCTCATATTTGGAGAAGCTTGAGAACTTAAATGGTTTTAGGAGCCCTAAAGATAGACATTGAAGATAAATAAAAAAAAGACATGGGAACAACTAAAATGATACAACTGAAGAAGCCATAACAGTGTATCTTTAGGCAAAAAAATGAAACAAGTTGCAATTAACTATTGCCTTCCTTCCGGATTTGTTTCTTGGACAGAGAAGTAAACTAATATTGTCAACACCACATCGATTCTCAATAATTATATTTTTAATTAAAAAAACATCAGTTACTAATTTATTATATAAGAAAACACACCATATGCAATTTTGAAAAAAAAAAAAAATGAGAAGTAAAGACATGATTTTTTTTGCTACTTTTCCACCATCTGATGTAATATCCTAAAATATCCTAAAATACCACTAAACTAAGTTTTTGTTCCAAAAAAACCTTCGCCATTTTCTTTTCTGAAATAACACTTCAAAATTTTTAGTCCAAAAATACCAAAAATATTAAAAATAAGTTTTAAGGGTTTATAATCTAGAAGTTTAGGTTTGGGTTTAGTATTTTGAATTTAGGGTTTAGGGTTTAGAATATAATTTTGAAGGTTTAAAGTTTAGTTTCAATTTTGTGGTATTTTTGGGGAAAATATATCTTAGTGGTCTTTTTGAGAAAAAAAAAACTAGTGGTATAGATGTCTTTTTGAGAAAAAAACATCTATTTCCCCACGAGAACTATTGATATCATACTAGATCCACACCAATCTATAACCTCGTGTTAAATATCCCCGAAAAGAAACTTTTCATCTTAAATCTCTCTGATTTAAAATTCCAAAACCTATATCTCCTCGAAACAAAAGTTCGAAACCTGTATCTCCATAAACTTTGGTTTTAATCGGTTTATTGTTTACAAAACAAAATTTAACCACATGAAAACGATGCTAAACCGAATTAAAACCCGGTTACAGCAAATTACGACGACCCATACCCTATTACAATGACAACCAAACCCAACCCAATCGATCCGATTTCAATTTTCTCTCCCTCCCTCGCTCGCTCTTGTCGTTGTCTTCTCCGATCAAAAACTGAGTTGAAAGTAAAATTTGTAATGGTTTTTAGATCCACGATTCTCACCAATTCGTTTGTCTTCTCCGCTGATTCTTCGTATCTTCAACCCACAAATGTGCCAGTTCTGGTAGTATTTTCCGATGCCGGCGAAGCATGGAAACTAGCAATGTCTATATTAGTGAATCTTCCTTTGGTTCAATTATCTTTCGATTTCTGATCTGTTTTTTTTCTTGGAGAGGCTAGATAACGATGGATTTGCAGATTTATCGGATTGTTTAAGTTTGGCTTTTGATATGAATATTTGGACGAAGAATTTGATGTTTTGTGTACGACATTGGTTTAGCAAATTATTAATCTCATGAATATATATTGTTTAGCTTGTGGAGATCAATAGATTGTGGAATTTTGTCTTTTTCCATGACCTTAGGTGGCTTCAAATTCTAAGGAGATGGAGATCAGAAGTCAAGAAAATGTGGTGAATCCCATAAATTGAAACGTGAAAAACCCATGAATTAGGTGTAGACTTGTTGAGATTCGATTAGATTGGCTAGATAATTTCAACTCTCCGTGAGGATCCATTAATCTCATGAGAAGCCAAATTAAATCTGCAAAATCATGGCTTGGAAGAAGATGAAGAAGAAGAAGAAGAAATCGGGTAAGATACGGGTCGGGTTTGAGAATGGGTCGGGTTTTTAAGTCAATCAGATTTTTAAATCGGTTATCTTGGGTTATTATGGTTTTCTATCGGTTAAGTTCGTAAACCGATTAAACCCAGATATAAGGACAAATAGATGAAAATTATTTGATTTGGGGGAACATAAGTTGACAACTATTTGTTCGGGGATATATAGCATGAGGTCATAGATTGGTGTGGATTTGGTATGATATCAATAGTTCTCGTGGGGAAATAGATCGTTTTCCCCCCTAGTGGTAATTTTGAGAATTGCTAATTTTCTTTTTCTTTTTATAGAACTGATAAATAAAAATAGAAATGTAAACTTTTTTGTTGTTGTTGATAGGACATAAAAATGTAACTTTGAAAAACAGAAAAGATGGTTACTTTGCTTTAAGAATTTGTTAACATAAATCATACATTTGACTCAAAAACCATAATTAATTAAAAAAGATTATGATTAAAAAAATTTGTGAATCCCAAGTTCCTGTCGATTTCAACGGTTAAGCCCAAATCCAGTTTTTAGTTCAATTCTAACTCGGCTACAATTTCTAATTCGATACTGAGTCCTTGTAAGCCCAAACAATAATAAGCCCAAACGATGACAAGCCCAACAACGTAACGGTGCGATAATGTTGAGAAAAATAAAACAAAGGTAAATGACTACCGTCAGATGTAACAAATGACACGAGGCAGAATCTTAAGGAGTAAGAAAACCCTAGCGCTCCATATTATTTTCTGTATAAAAACCCAAAGAGAGAGAAGCATAGTTATCATCTCTCAAGCTACCAATTTCTCTCGTAATCAGATTCTTATAATTTCTCCGATCTTTAGTTTTTTTCTTTGTCGTATTACTAAATTGATTGTTTTTCTGGACAGTGACGATTGATATTAAGGTCTCGTTCGTCGTAAAAACGGCCGTAAAAAGCCTATTTGCCGACCATTCTGTTATATCACCACCCATATTCTGAGTCCTATTGATTTTTTTATTTTTTTTCAATTTCTTTAGCATTGGCCGATGATTAAATCGATTAAGACAAGCATATGTCTAAATAAATCCATGTTGATAAGCCTAATCTTCTCAATGAGGCCTTAAATCTTTGGTTTTGTTTTAGTTTACTATGAAAAAAGGGTCAAGTGAGGATTAATAATGCATAGTTCAAATGATATAATCTCCATGATTACAATTCAGTAGCACAGTCTTTCGCTCCTATCTGATGACCCCTTCAATTTTTTTATTTTATTTTATATTTTTGATTTGAGACAATTATTGAGAATTGAGATTAATACTAGTCCTGATTTTTCTGTTTTAACTGAGAATTGAGATTAATACTAGTCGGTTTTTTTATTTCTCTGATTTGAAGGAACATTAACGATCATTACATTGAACAATGACGAGGGACATTAGATATGAATGATTTGATTGGGATTGATGCAAAACTCTCATCTGAAGAATGGGATTGGGATTATTGGAACTGTGTTTTAACTCGGCCCACTAGAAGAACCCCTTTCTGTGTGGGCTTTTGATTCTTTTGAGGCCCAACTAGTCAACGAATAGTTTCTATGTCTTGAAAACATATTTTCACACAGTAAAGCCTGGGCAAAAATTTCGAATCCGTAAACTCGACCGGACCGAACCGACCTGTCAAAGCTGGTATGAGCATATTACTCTACTGGATTCTGTTTTGTCCTACCTGTTGATATTGGATCGATCTGGGTAATATCCTCGAACATATAATTCAATATCCAAAATATTAATTATATTTAATCTTAATATAATCTAATCTCCTAAAATTACAATTATAAATCTGAATATATCAATAAAATATCTTATACGTTCATAGGTCTGAATATGTCTAATAGTGTTCTTTGCCTTAAAAACATTATCATACAAAGTATTATCTCAATGAATAAACGAAAAGAGGAAGAAGAAAGGTTTAAAATATTTTCATTCATTTTGTCAACAACAAAACATTCTACAACTTTAATGACGTGTTTACATCTTTAACCAGAGTTTGTGCATGAACAAATCGGTTCATTTTTATCTTTTATACATAACATGTACGTTTACATTTTTCTTAAAGACAACCGTGAAAGATGTTGTTATGTGCCTGGAAAAGAGCTAGGTGTTGTGCTTTGTAAGATGATGAAAGCGCAAACAACAGAAAGAGAGAAAACAGAGACCCAAGTATTCTCTGTGTACATCTCCATCGCGTCTGTTAACGACAATCTCGTCCTGTTCTCTGCCCAGTTCCTTAGTCTATCTGCTTCCGCTGCATATAACGCCCGTCCCTGCAAACACATCTTTGCGTTAGCGCAAGGTAACCCGGCGACGGATTTTCAAAACCCTATTCTAGTTTGATTATTATTAAAAGTATCGGCGGCAAAAATGTAAAAACTTGAACTAAAACTGAAGTGAAACTTAGATTGAATACACGTAAGTACTTACTTGGTCATCAAACCATCGGCCTCTCCTGAGCCAGGAAGTGACAATAGCTAACAATATCCGAGGAGGAGTCAGGTAATTGACGGCTTTTCCCGAACCTTTCACAACTCGCATGCGTGGTACCAATGTTCTAGCTACTGTTTCGGGAAGCTCGCATATTATGTTAAACATCTGCTTGTTTTTTATGCTCGAACCACTGCCACATAACAGGTTGGTTGTTTGTTACAACGCTTCAATATGAGCTTAGTGAGAAAGTGTATATGCGCATGCATACCTAAGAAGAAGTTCGGTCAGAACCATGCCCGGGGATGCAGTGTGCAGGCCAACGTTTGTTTTTTGGCTTTCTTTCACAATAGACCCATGAAATTGCCTAAGTCCACATTTTGTTGACCCATATCTGCAAAAGCTCAAAGACTCAGAAATTTGTTCTAATTAGTTAGAGCTTAGTATCGAATGATTGATTTCTTACACGGCCGTGAGAGGAGTGCTAGAACCCCCAGAGCCAGCACCATCCATGTTAAAGATGTGTCCACCATTGTGCTGTCTGCTCATCACATCCATCGCCCCTCGTGTGCATAGAATTGATCCAATCAAATTTGTGGAGACAATCTGCAAAATTTCAATTACAATTAGACTGAGGAACTTCACAATAGCTCAAGCTGAAATTAAGCTTTAGGTCCAAAAAAGGATTTTACCTGTGTGATATCTTCTTCAGTGAACTCGAGTAACGGTCTAAAACCTTTGTTAGTACCAGCATTGTTTATCTGTCCAATTGAATATAGCCGGTGAGTAAACATATCGACTTAAGACACAAAAAGTTACAATGGAATATGATTTTTTTACCCATATGTTGATGGAACCAAGCTCTTTTACAGCGAAATTCGACAGCTTCTCAACGTCTTCGGGTTTGCAAACATCACAGGCAATACCAACTACCTTAGCATCACTCAATTTCTTCTTAGCAGACTCGCTAGCATTACTCATAATCTCTTTGAGATTTTGCTCTAGCTCTTTGACAGTCATATCAACAGATTCAGAACTGATTTCACAAACAAAAACCAAACAAAACAAAGCACATAAGACTTCATTTCTTGATAAAAACTAATCCACAATTCCATATATTTCAATTTTAGCAACCTGCGAGATGTGACAATGACTCTGTCTCCAGAGAGAAGAAACTCTCTGGCAAGAGCTTTCCCTAGTCCCCTCGTGCTAAAACACCACATCAAAACACACATCAGCATCAAACCAATACACAAAGAAGATTGTTACAATGAACAAGTTACCTTCCGGTTATAACAACATTCCGGGGACCGGCTCGGTAATGATCTTCCAAAACCATGTTAGCACCAGTCATGGTTCCAATGATAATTCCACCAAGCCAACTATACCAAACCAATGAGTTCATCGAACTATCCCCACCTTTAATGACAAACACATACACACAAAATCTCAGTCAAACAAAATTACCAATAAAAAAAACCTTCCACAATAGTTTTTCCACTAACCTGATAATTGAAACCCAATCAAAAGAATAGCTCCAGTGCTTGTCATCGTCACAATGTATCTCGCAATTTGAACAGCAATCTACAAAATCATAAACACTTCAAAATTTGAGCTAATCAAAGCAAAAAGAATGAAAATTTCATCAAAAAGGAGGAAACTTTAAAGACTAACCGAAGAGAAAACCATCTCCAAGTTTTCAACTTTCTGATTATACTCATCTTTAGACAAGAACCCTAATTTACTAAACCCTAAAAACCCAGATTTCAAAGAATCCCAATAACCATTTCCTTTAAATTTCTCAACTTTTCTCTTTCTTTCAACTTTCTTCTCACAGCGATGCACAGAAACCCTATTATTACGTTCTCTACAAGTCAATCTTGACCCGACCCGTATCGGATCTCTGAAGAAGAGACGGTGCTCCAAGACTTGTGGGTACACTTGAATCTTCGTTAAAGTAGTCATAGCTATGGAAGAAGAGTGAGATAAGCTTTGAAACTCATGCAAAAGATAACTTAGAAAACAAGATAAAGGAAGGAGCTTTTTATGGTATTTTAGGGACCCAAAAGATTGATTGTTAGAAATTTTTTAGGTTCGGATTCGTCGAAGACGTTAAATAGAGAGATCGGAGGAAGAAGAAGATTAGGACGAAGAAAGAAAGAGGTGAGGGAAAGAAAGAAGGAAGAGAAGTGTGATGGCCACACGTTACAGCAACCTCATCTCGTTAGCCTAACATTGACACGTGTCACTTGGTGTTTTTTTTTTGTCCATTTGCATGTTTTCAAGATATTTTTCTCTCTTTGGGAGCTAATTTAGATTTGGGTTTGATGATATAAGAAGTGGAACAAAATTTTGATTCATTTTGTATCTAGAAACCAAAAGTCATTACTTAGTTACTTGAGTTTATTGTAGTATTTATTTACTTGACTAGATGATAGAGATTATTATCAATTGGAACGTCTAAAACACTAGATAAATCTAGTGCGAAGATAAAATAATCTAGCAATACCGTTCTATTTTTTTTTTGATAACCCAGTATCCAGACCACACAGTGATCTGACTAGTCCACTGGGCCTAAGCCCGCGTCACAGGGATTTTTAAGCCTCCACTTAAGGGCCCCCTGATAAACTGGTGGTCTGGGGCGCCTGAGCAAGTCCGCAGGTAAATTCCCAGGTGGCCACAGGAGTGAGAGAGCGAAACTGCGTCTGGGGAGGATCGATCCCTGGCCTAGACCAACAGGGCGATCCTTCCAACCAAACGAGAACCACTCGCAATACCGTTCTATACCATCGTTATAAATTCTTTATTCAATCCTTTTATTCTAAAACAAAGAAAACAAAATGATTTTTGGTCTAATACCATAAAATCTCATCAAACCCATATGATATTTATGCATACATGTATCTCACATTGTTTTATTATTTCAGATTTTCTTAAATTAATTTGGGTAAAAAAAGATAAAATTTTGTATTATGGTTGCACTTAGTGCAAATGCACCCCTTACACTGGAACAATAACGGGTATGTATGTCAAACTACCTGTTACTTGTTTTGTATTCATTTTCTTTTACATCGTTTTGTATTTATTTTGAAAAATAAATATTCGGAATATTTAAAGCATGTAACAAATAATAAAAATAATATTTGTAAATATTATGTATCAAGAATTAAATATTATTTTATAATACTTGGCTTGTTAGATACCATTATCAGTTTTGTTTCTTATTTAACAAAAATTAATTATATTTGTTATGAACAAAAATGTTTCATGATATATTCTTCCACATCCAATATATATACAAAGATACAATAGTAGGGTTTAGGTTTGATACCAAGAAATCTAGTTACTTCTAATTAAGATCTACTAATAGACTATATAACGGGCATCCATAAAACAATTATATTATTCATAACACTTCTTCTTCGATGACCATTATAAAAATATAATCTCAAATGCGCATATGAAAAACTGCTTCATTAAAAACCTTACCAAGAAAATTCTATGGAAAAAACCATGGTTAAAGGAAAAAGACTGCATCACGTTTTTACTCTCCCTCATGAGTACATCACTTAAAATCTTCGAGATGACGCGATCCAATTATGATGAAGTAACTTCTTGAAGAAGTAGTTGGAAACGTCTTGGTAAATAGGCTCGCCAATTCTTCGCTTGAACAAATTTGTAGCACACATATATCACTTTTCTTCCACATTTTATTGGTCTTGTAGGTGAATGCTGCTGAATTTTTGGTCAACCTGTAGTTTGCTTGGTCTCTCAAGTCCTTGTATCCTCGAGAAAGATGGATTTTTTCTTTAACATTTGACATTCAAGAACTTATTTACTTCATTGCCGTTTATGATGTGTGGTTCTTTTGGGTTTTTTTTTGGATGCACAGATCAGATCTTTCAAAAAGAGTTAGATGCTTTGACATACAGAGTTTTGGCCTATCTTCTTCTGGGCCGGCATCTATCGAGTGTTTTTCCATTGCTTTGCTTGAGAGATTTGAACTACATGCTTTTGATCTTGGGATTCTGGAAGATTTTCATGGGTATGCTTGTTATTCCTAGACAGAATGTATTTCGCAGAGATTCTTTTATAGTCTCACGTTTTGTTTCTTCTTTCTCAGGGGAAATATTAAGCCGCAAGAAGATATTACACTTAAAGGTATTTATTACTAAAAGTCGTTTGAAGTGAATCTCATCACTGTTCATGTACTTAATACCACAACACTGCGATGAAACAGATGGAAGTCAGGAACCAGAGAAGATGGACATGTATTCAATGGAAAGGGTATGTCTCACCTTATAGACTACTGAGTGTATAACTGTTAGGTTCTACTACAGAGTATATTTCCATTGTTTCTTGATTCAATTTCTTTTCATTCCTGTAATTTCGTGAATATATATGTAATAAAGTTAATACTTTGTGGAGTTGCAGTTTGACATGGAAGAGGACCTTCTGTTTACGTTTTATGAGACTTTCTCTGCCAATCATAATGAAAATAAACAGTAAGTATGATATTTTTTGGTTCCATACATGTAATTGACAAACACAATCCCAACTTTCTGTGTTTATAATTGTTGTTGCAGTGAGAGTTTTGCTCATGATATGGACATGGATGCAGAAAATGTTAGAGATACTACAGAAGAAGCATCGGTTAGAGTCGTTAAAGCGGAACCACTAGATTGTAATGAATCATCCAAAGATCACCAAAATGCATCTAGGCATAGAGAAGATCCAGAATCAGATGACATTCTTGTGGAACCGCAAATGTCCGAAGATATCAGAAGAGCTCAAGAAGAAGACACAGTTAGAGAAACCATATCTACTATTGTGCAAACACTAGTGGATCCTCATGAATACTCATGAGATAATCTACAGAGAGATGGTCACATAGAGAATTTAGAATCGGAGAAAACAAGTTGCGAAGAGATGCAACATATATTGCTGGTCCCTCCCATCTGAATGCGTAAGACCTAAAGCGATTCACGGGATTGAGGATCAACCTTATGGTGCCACAAGAACTAATGGGGAGAAGGAGATCCCGGAGATCCCAGAGATGAGTACTCTAGAAGAACCAGAACCAGTATCAGTGACTGGTTTCAGAGACTTGCCAAAAGGCGTAGAGAAATGTCGAGACCATAATGAAGCGGAAATGACAAACTTTGAGTTGTTTCATGGGTCTCATAAGAACAATCTGATACTTTTGAAGTGAATCTCCATGGTTCCGAGAAAGGTTTTCTCTCTGACAAGACTGTTTCAAAAGACCTCAGTAGAGGGTTTAATGCAACAGTTACTCCAATTGCTGTCACTCCCAAAACACCTTCGCGGTCGAAAATCTCTGGAGGTGCACACTTTATAGAAATATGAGTCATCTTGATCAATATTTTTGTTTCTAACGATCTCATTAATGTATGTAAAAGACTTTGAATAATGATAATATTTCATCATTGAAATCACAACATTCGCCTTAAGGTAAATCAAATTCGTGTGTTCTTTGTTGTCTCGTTAATCGTTAATAATCAAATTCGCTTGTTCTTTCAAAACCCTATTGTAGTTTGATTATTAGTTTGTCGGATGAAAATATTTTGATGTGGAAAGTCATTTCCGTAGTATTATAAAATTTGGTTTGGTTTCACGTTAGCAAATTTGTGTGATCAAACCGAATAAACTTTTCTTAACATAAACTCATATTCGGATCAATATAAGAATTTATATATTATTCGTAACAAAATCTATTTTGTTTCACATTGATGAATTTTTATAACACAACCGAATACAATTAAATTTTTTACATCATGACTTAAAAATTTTCAATTTAGAAAAAGATTGTAAACTAGAATTTTAAAAGAAAATCCTAAATCAAATTGTTTATATTTATTATGTTTTAATATAACGATTTTTTTAAAATTTACAAATTGGATTTATTTATAATAGTTTATGAAAAGATGAATGTTTAAAAACCCACAAAAAAGTGAGGTTTTTGTGTTTTTTAAAAAGGTGAGGATTTTTCTACCCATTTTTCCTATGTTTTTCAATAGAGATTGATGTCTCTTGTGGTCAACAGACTAATTGATTCCAATAGTAAAGTCAATGTACTAAACTTTATTATTTTTGCATGTTCTTTATGTTACCTTATATCCTGAATTTATGTGGATAGCCTTGTTTGTATTTTTCATAGTAGAACAAAGATGAAAAGTATGTCGTGAAGCTCTTAGACAAGTAAACATAATTGTAATTATACCATTTAATGTAAACATACCTTTTTCCCCCTTTATTATTGATGTGATAATATTGTTTTGGTTTTGATTATTCAAATAAAACAAATTAAAAAAAAATACCCGATCGTATCGCGAGTTTCGACCTAGTATTGACTAAAAACAACTAATACGTAGTCACATGCACAACACATGATTTAAATGTTGCATTCTACATTGTAATTGTTTCCGTCAAATCCTATACTATTATTTGGGAAGTAAATATTTTGCGGGTGGGGCAAAATGCATTTGGATACAATGGGTATCCGACCCGTTTACAAATTTTGGTCATAAAAAGTTTGTTGGGTCGGGTTATATTTAACCCAACTCATACACCGGATATTCCATATTTAATAATTTAGATAATTAGAAGATTTGATTAAGATTTAGAATTATGATTCTCCTATCATCTTTGTTTGATTTGTTTTTAATTGTTTTGAATCATCATATAATATATAAAGTAAAAAAAAATCAATTTTCTTTCTGCATATACTGTGATTCGAAATTTAAAAACGGACATATATTAAAAAAATGTGTGCTCAACTTTCGACATCAACTAAAATATTTAGACAATGATTAAGAATAATATCATAAATAACATCAACATTAATAAAATAAATAGCTTTTTTGGCGGGATGGGTTTGGCGGGACAGGTTTTTGAATCAACAATAATAAAAAAAAAAATTAAAATATCATTAACCCGCCACTTCAATATAGATTAACTCATTTTTTTAATACCACCAATATTACACATATCAAATCAGTCTCATTTAGAAAAGATTGTATAAAATAAAAAATTGTTCTGTGGTATAATGTTACTTAATAACAATTTTAAACTATAAAATATAAATATTTTAGAAAATAATACAATTTGTAAACTTTTACATATAATAAATAATCTTTAAATTTTTAAAATTTTCTACTTTTAGAAAACAAATCACGGGACGGATTTAGAAATTACAAGATGGGTTATATTTCGGAACGAGGTTATATGATAGACGAGTTTGAATCAATATTTATAATATTTTAAAATATTATTAACATGCCTCTTTAATACAGATTAAATCCTCAGTTTATTAAAATATAAATGTCTTAGAGAATGATACAATTTGCAAACTTTTCTATATAATAAATAATCATTAAATTTTAAAATCACTATTTTTAGAAAACAAATCACGGGACGGGTTAAAAAATTACGGAACGGGTTATATTTCAGAACGGATTTATATGGTAGACGGGTTTGAATCAATATTTATAAAATTTTATTGATTCAGTGATTAACAATTGTCCCGTGGATTCGTGGTATACCGTTATTTAATAACAATTGTAAACTATTTATATTTTGTAAGGAGATACAATTTGTAAAATTTTATATATACTAGTTTTAAAACATAAATCTTTCCGCGGTGTATCTGAGGTTAAAAAAATCTAGTTAAGATTATATTATAGTTGAGACCCGACCTATGAATCCATCGAGTTTAAATGGATCTGCTCAAACATAGATCATCTATTTAGATTTAACGAAACACAATTTTAATAGATTTTTATTGGGCCTAATATTTGATAACTCAATATAGTTAATGGGCTCCTATATATATAATTCAACATGATTATTGGGCTTCCGTTTGCTTGTACGTCAACTAAATTTTAATAGGGGTCAATTTATTTGTTGGACTAGGGTCAAATAACTCCGCCCCTGTCTATGAGCACACAAATTTATTAGTAATAATTTTATGGATGTATTAGTAATAAATAATTAACTGCCAGAAATTCAACGGAAAATTATAAAATTGAATTGTGTGTGAAATACCATAGAATAATATACATATACCTATATAGTATATATAGAAATGAATGAAATAAAATTAAGGATATGTCAGAATAAACTCAAGATTTGTTGTCCGAATATTTTTAATATGGCCGCTTCATGTTTAGGTTGATAAAAATAAGAAAATAAGTTGGTGGGATATTTGCACACAAAAAAAAAAAAGAAAAAGTGGGTGGATATAGAATTGGTAAAATAGATAAATCAAGAGTAGCTAAATTAGAATGTTGCCAATTCAACGACCACGGACTACTGCAACAGATCTAACCCATTTCTACATTTAAAAAGATGTCCTCCCTCTTACTTCACTCCTTCCTTTAGAGTTTAAGTCAAGATCCAGTTTAATAAGAACAGAGTTATTTGTGATATTTTTAAACTGTAAAAAAAAGAGAGGTAAATTACTCTTCTCCACTTAATTTTTCTCTCTTTGTTTTTTCAATATTATATTTATTAATTGTAACCATACATAAATACTACCAATATGTTGTAATTCATTTAAGCTTATTGTATATACAATATGTTATTGGATATTTCTATTATTTATTTTACCTTCAATTCTCTAAAGTCTAAACAATCAATACAAAACTATCTACCTATCTAAGTATGTTTGCTAGCAAATAAATAAAGACGTGGAAATGAACCTAAATTTACCAAAACGTATAATACAGTTATGATGTGAGCGGGTAATTATTTTCAAAATATATATTAGTTTATTTTAAAGATAATTTTGATTCCAAAGAATCCAAAGAAGAGAACCTAAAGCCTTTGCAATATATATAACATAAGCAAGAGCTTCCGGAGGACAAATCACCAAAACTCAAAGGAGACAAAAGTAATAAAAGAAAACAGACTGTACACGAAGAAAACAAGAGAAATATGGTTCTTAGAAGCTCAATCTCCAACACAAGAAAAATCTTCCAAAAAACTATCGACAACTTCAAGTCATTCTTCTTCAACAACGGTACGTATCATAAACTACCAAAAACACCTAACAACACCTCTACCAATAATACTAATGATCATTCAAACTCCAATATCATCACATCATTATCATCATCATCATCATCCATACACAAGCAGTTTCAACCTAAACCCAAAGACTATGTGACCACAAACAAAGCTTTAACTCTACAACCGAGAAGAGAAGACAGAGACGAGACACTCTTTTCCCAGCCAAAGGTAAATCTTGTTCGTAGAAAGCTAAAGGATATGGAGAAAATGATGAATGATGATATAATAAGAGATGATCATTATGTCTCAGATGTAAGAGAGTTTTTGCATTGCTACTCTCGTCTTCGTTACACTGCTTACCTCGATGTGGTTGAGCATTTTTTCATGGAGGTCTACTCTGATTTCTTTAGCCCTCATCGTCTCGAGGGCACCCGAACGGCTGTAAAAAGAAGGCACCCCGCGGTGGTTGGACTTGGATCGTACGGTGGCCATAAATATTGATGGAGAAGTTCAAATATATGATCAGTGATTGTTATGATTAATTAGATTAAATTTGTTTCATATTTTACTCTTTTTGTTTTCGTCATATTTTTGTTAACTTCTTGAATGGGGGATTGTATATGACTGTATTTAGTAGTGTTTTAATTTTCTAATTTTACAAATAATAATTGATGAAGATTTAGTAGTATATTATTTTACAAATAATAAGTCGTAGCTTCAAGTGGTTCAAAGGAATATAACCGTTGGAATGCATTGAAAGCTCTTGGATCTAAATATGGAAAGTCTTGGTGTATGAGTGGGGAAGATTGAATCCACATTGTCCAATGTCTTGGAATAAAGTTTGAGGTGTTCTTAGGAACCTTTTGGACTCCAAACATGTGGTTGGATTGGATTCTCCCAAGGAATGCACATATGTTATGTTCGGGTTTGAGATGCATGGTGCAGGCTCTTTGATTGGTCTTCCGGTTCAGCTACTGGCCTAATGACTTCTTCATAGCTTCCCCCATGGCCCCATGATTAAATGTTTTCATCAAAACTAAAGAACCTACACATATAGAAAGAAAGTTAGATTCTTGATTAACTTGAGGTTATAATCACATGATTATCTCGAGTATTGGATTGTTGGTGATCACCTGCAATGTCTTCAGCTTGTTAATACTCCTTAATTAATCAATGCAAAAAATTTCATCTCGTGCATAGGTTCTTGTTTTGAGTCCTCGGGTAATAAGGTGTCGAAGTCTTCTTTATCTCGCTTTTGGTCCGTTAACTCTTCTTTGATCTACATGATGTTGGAGTCATTTTCATCTTCTCTAGTGGTTGGTTTGCATAAAAAGATCTTTGGATATGCTGCTTCTGGTCTGTGAGCATGTCCACCTTTGCTGATGCATGCTTCCTTGCCTAGTGCTTCTCCTTAAT